TTAATAGATTTCGATACCCAGGTAGGTATATAGGTAAATTACTTGTTTTCAGTAGGTATTAGGTAGTACTAAGAAATGTAAGACATAATATAATTATTTCAGATGACTGGCTGAAATTCTTGTCACAATACTGACGGGTGTGTTTACGAGTATACGAGTAAATAACTGAATATTTAATGTTTTCACGGAAATAAGCAGGTAGTACAAGGGCGTGGATTTCTGTATTTTCATTTAATAAACTGACTACGTAGCTTAGGCACGTTATAAGCCTTTTCTGTCTTTCAGAATCTTGATTTATCTTTCAATAATGGTGGGTAAAACGTCGTAGTGGCCCGGAAGTTAAGGCGCTCGTTTCGCATCAGGGTGCTCGAAACCTGGCAGGTACCGATGTGACTTTTTCCGAGTTATATATATATACATTTTATGACTATTTAGACACCAGTGATATACAGTGAAGGGAAACATCGTGAGGAAACCTGGACTTTATAATTTTAAGTTTGAAATCGCCAATCCGCCTTAAGCAAGTGCGGTGATTAAGGCTCAAACTTTCTCCGTGTGCGATGAGGCTTTTGCTCAGCAGTGCGGTAATTATAGGCTTATAATGTGAAGGGTGGGCTGTGCCGGTTTGCTGTAAAAAAATAATATTCGTAAGTATATTTATTTTCGGCGCAAAATATCATAACCTAACCTAACAGGTAATTATATTTTTGAGTCGTTTGGGTTTGCGACTTTAGTTTCAATGATAGTTCATAGATCCAATGGGAATCAATTTAGAATTATATGTATACATGTATCAAGTGCACGGTTGACACAGTAGCTGATGACGCGGATGCCAGGCAACGTCTCGTGGGTTCGGTTCCCGATTACGAGTGCGTTGCCGGCCTTTTAGGGATAAGGGTTTCAGATATTTCAGGATAGGGAAGGGATAGGGGAGGGATTGAACCTCCAACAATATATTTAAATAATAAGCAACAACCTTAAAACCGCTCTTAGGAAGACAATTTTATTTATGAGAAAATCGCAATATCCCATCCTGCCTTCAATAAAATCGTGTCGGCGAAACGACAAGGTAATAAATTCTATCAATGTATGAATGATGAACGACTCGCTACCGTGAAGAATGTATACGGAAAAATATCCTCACATAATTTGAATTATTATCAAATATATTATGATTCATGGCATCTTTCTTAGAAAGCTACATAGGTGAAAAAAATATTTGCTTGCTTTTTTATGTTTTAGGTTGGCGAACGAACTGACGGATTATCTGATGGTAAGCAATCGGCATGTACGTATGTCGTGGTGACCCTGAGGTTAAGGAGCCCGCTTCTCATACATGAGGGTGTGGATTCGAAACCTGGCAAGTACCAATGTGACTTTTTTCGAGTTATATGTACTTAATATGATTATTTAGACACCACTGACATACGGTGAAGGTAAACATCGTGAGGAAACCTGGTCTTATAAATTTTACTTATAAGTTTTAAATCGCCAACCCGCATTGAGCAAGCGTGGTGATTAATGCTCTAACCTTCTCCGTATGAGAAGAGGCCTTTGCTTAGCAGTGGGCACTTATAGGCTAATGGTGATGGTGATGAAGCAATCGGCACAGTATGGAAACCTACAACACCAGAGGAGTTAAGAGTGTACTGGCCTTTCTGGCATTAGGAATTTGGGAGGGATTGAGCTTCTGGTAATCTCACTCTCACGGCGAAGCATAACGTTTGTGGTTGTTTCACGATAGTTTTCTGTGAGGTCGTGTTATAAATCCGGTTGAGCCGACTCATTCGTGCCGAAGCTTGGATATCCCACACTTAAACTTTCGCTACAGTGAAGGATGTACACGGAAAAATATTCTTAGATAATTTGACTTTTATCAAATATATGATTCATATCATATTTCTTAGAAAGCTACGTAGGTGACGAACATACATATTTGCGGGCTTTTTTGCATCTCACATATATATACCTGGTACATGTAATTTCCGTTTCGCGTTAACTGATCTGATTGGATTATTGGTTTTTCTTGTTTTTAGGGAACTATGTCTTTGTAACTGCGGTTTCCAGCCTGCCTGCTAGCTGGCCTATGTGGAATAAGGCCCGTACTCTAGCAGATATATTTGGTTATTTTGCGTGAACATATGTACGGGAACTCACATCGATACTTTTCATGTTTCTATCTTGCATCCTCGTGATATAAGAGTCATCATTCATTTTTGAGAATTACTATCGAATACTTAAGCCATACTTTGCTTTGTCTCATAAGCTACTCAATAAATATCAATAGGAAAAAGGTCATGAAATAAATTAGCTGAATGGCATTAATTTTAATCAATAATTAAATTTAAGTGTGGGAGAGCCAAGCTTCGGCACGAATGGGTCGGCTCGACCGGAGTGATACCACGGCCTCACAGAATACCGATGTGAAACAACTACAGCGTTGTGTTTCGCCGTGTGAGTGAGGTTACCGGAGGCCCAATCCATCCCCTCCCCTGATCCCTCCCAATCCCTAAATCTCCAAAACCCTTATCCCTAAAAGGTCGGCAACGCACTCGTAACTCCTCCGTTACGGGTGTCTATGGGCGGCACTGATTACTTACAATCAGTTAATCCGTCTGCTCGTTTGCCGACATATTACATAAAAATAAAAAAAAATACAATATTTTTTTAAGGAATAGGAGGCGGACAACCTTATAGATCACCTGATGGTAAGCGAAAACTGCCATCCACTGAATCCCGCAAAATGAAGAAATTACATCTACGTTGCCCGCCTTTTTACGCGATTTTCTCGCGAAAAGTACTACTTAAAGAAAATAGTATACCAACTTCATCTTAAGCCCTTCTTAAGAGCTTAAGATTACCAGAACTAATCCTTGTTACGAGGCCATGGAAACTATTTTTCAATAAAATCCCACAGCTAGAATTTACTCGAGCGAACCAATATCGAACTTGGTCGGAAGATGTTGAAATTTTTCGGCCAGCAAGCTAACGGAAGCGAATTCTTCAAATAGTTCCTAACGACATCTAGAATCGACATCTAGAGTTCTAAAGTTTAATAGACGTGTGCTACTTCGCAAACTGTGCAAATACGAAAAGTGCCTAAGTAAGTTTTCTAAAGATTTCCCCTGACAAGAATTCGTGTTGAAGCGCGCTTTTAAAGAATTCTTGTGTCAGGAATCGAATTGTTAGAGTAGGTATTATAAATTGGTACATGGAAATACTGCGGACAATATCTATGGTAATAAGTCCGCTTGTACTTATAGTTTATAGTTTATATTCAGTTCTTAAATAAATTAAAATGCGATAAGTGTGTCTATGCTTCCGCATGAATGGGTCAGCTTGAGTGGAGTGATACCACGGCCTCACATAAAACCGGCGTGAGACAAATACAGCGTCGTGTTTCGCCGTGTGAGGCCCAATCCTTCTTGCATCTGTTGCATGCGTTAATTGCGCCTGATGTAAATTTTTTGTCCATGAAGTTATAAATCCAAACTAATATTATAAATGCGAAAGTAACTCTGTCCGTCTGTCTTTTCTTGACGCCTAAACTACTGAACCGATTTCTTTGAAATTTGGTACACACATAGTTTGAAACTCGAGTAAAAACATACAAAGTTTTTAAACCAAAAACCTGCAGGAAGTCACTTATCCACGCGAACGGAGTCGCGGGCAAAAGCTAGTAAGTACGAGTAAATAAACAAAATGGAGATATATTATTTTTCAACTCATTCTTGACGAATGTAGAATTATTGTACAAAATTTAGCATTATTTAGTTTAGTGTTTTTGCAAGCATTTATGTCAGTTTATTTTATTAGAAACACAACTAAACATTTCATTTAGCCATTTAGTTCCAATAGCAAGATACCAACCAGAAGATGACCAATTTGAACGAACGAAACTTAAATACCCAGTAGCTACTAACAAAATGTTGTAAAACTCATATCAAAAGGATTTCAAATCGATTCCTAAGAGAGCTTGAACTATGCAAAGGAATTCACGATCAGAACGTGGGACGAACTCCTCGAGTAAATAGCCATGTACTGATAAAATTATGATCGAAGTTTGAATTCAAAGACTGTAGATAAAGCATTAGTGAAAGCCACGTAGAGAAATGTATTGAATGGAAAATGTTAGGATGAAGCTTGTAATATAATATTGCAGCTTCTAAACTAACTTTATGTTGGAGGTAAAGTTTCGTATTAAAAGTTATGGGAAATAATAAACCGTATTTTCTTCTTCTCACTTAAATATTTTCTTCATTTCTTTTGTTGCGTGATCCAAGATAGTCATTCATGTCCTTAAGTCGCGTCGGACTTCAGTGTATCGGTGTTTTCATGGTTGTATCTACTGTGGATCTGGGCTTATAAAAGTTGCAGCAGTTTTGGATGGCAAGGCAGGTTTGACCCATAAAAATAATAATAAAACGAACCACGTAATTTTTATCAGTGACATGTTTAAACCTCTAATATAATAACAAAGCCACGCGCAGAATATAAATAGGAACTAGAAAAAAAATATCTAACTTCTATACAATGCTATTTCAATATTCGGGTCACTAATGTTTCGGACAAAATTGTTTAGGAAACTTTGTCTGGATATGTATGTTTATTTTATTATTGATTCCTTTCGCTGATATCTTGTATTAAACGTGACTTAGAGGCGTTGTGAGTGCAAGCTCAATTACACATTGAGTACCCCTGCCCAACCGGAACGTGAAAAATGAAAAGTCTGTGCCTCCCACCATCTAGGATGGAAGAAGTAATTTAATGATTTTCGTTGATGTAATAAAATTCGCGGAAAAGAAAACAAGCCGTCGCCTTGGACTAGTTTATAAACTAAGATTATTTGAAAATAGTCCCACGGAAATCTACTTCCGGTAAAAAAAGTGTTCTATTGTGACAGACGCACGTGGACTGTAGCTGACTAAGTAGTTTAGAAATTTATTAAAATACTTACAGGTAATAATAAAAATAATGCTAATCAAAAGAAGACTGCTTAATTAGTACTGAGAACTATGTTGTAGACACATGGGCTTATAATTATGAGCAAGTCTGGGACAGTCATGCTTCACCACCAATGAGCCACCTCGACCAGGGTAATACCACGGCTACAGAGAAAATCAGCGTTAAACAAAGCTTGCGTTATTTTTTATCGTTTTAGTGATTTTTATTAGAAGATAGTTTCATTTACTTACATCAAATGCTGTTTACTTAATTAAACCAGACTTTCAAGGCCAAGTTTCAGTTAGACAAAATAAATATACATTAAGATAGAATTTTTTGATACTTTAGCTGTTATTGATATTTTTTTTTTAGAAATAAAAAGCGCGTCTGTTACGATATAGTTTTAAAAGCAATAAAGTTTTTAATGTTGAATAAAACTAATTTGTACTTATTTATGTTGCTAAGTCTACTGAGAATTCGATTAACTACATTTTTATGAACATCGAGCTCAGTGGCGTGCAGTTAAAGATGCTTAAGATCGTGGTGGTCCGGTAATTAAGGCACCCGCTTCTCACAAATGAGGGTGCGGATTTGAAACCTGTGACTTTTCAGGTATCAATTTATTTTTATGTGATATGTCGGCAAACGAGCAGTCGGATTACCTGATGGTAGGCAATCAGCGCCGTCCATGGACACCCGCAGAACAGAGGGATTACAAGTGCGTTGCTAACCTTTTGGAGATTAGGGATTTCGGAAAGTTAGGGATTGGCGATGGATTTGTTGAGGAAAAGATTTACTTTTTCAAAGTTTTATGTAGCAATGAAACCTTTTTTAAGTCCAAATGTGACTTTTTCAATTTAATGTACTTTCTAAGATACATTTAGACGCCAATGATTAAGAACGAAAACATCGCGAGGGAACTTGGACTTTAATTTGTAGTTATAAGTTCGAAATCCCCTTATCGCCTTGAGTTGGTGTGGTGAATAATACTCAAAAATGTATAGTTATAAGTTCGAAATCGCTAATCTGCCTTGAGTAAGCGTTGCGAATATTGCTCGAACCTTCTCCATATTAGAATAAATATAGTCAGCAGTGGCCACTTATCAACATCAGCCCAAGAGATGACGATGAGCGTTGTGATTCGCCGTGTAAGTGAGGCTAACCCCAATCCCTCCTCAATCCCTAAATCCCCAAATCCCTAATCCCTAAAAGGTCGGCAACGCACTCGTAACTCCTCCGTTGCGAGTGTCCATGGGCGGCGCTGATTGCTTACCATCAGGTTATCTGTCTGCTCGTTTGCCGACCTACTACATAAAAAAAAGAGATGTGATAGTTAATAAAACAATAGGTATATTTTTATATTCCACTTCTTTATTTCCATATAATCTTTGATATTTAATAACAGTGATTCACAACATTGAACAATATGAACTTATATGTTTTCGTTTTGTTTCACAGCGAGATTTAATACAACAGCGTTTTTATATATTTCTATACATTCATCAGTATATCAGTATTGTACAAATATGTATTATACGTTATCGAGTCTAAAAATAAAATAAAAATTTTCATTGAGAAACACGTAGGTCCCATACTGAACAAATAAAAGTTTAATAAAAACTATATGTGTATGAAAGAAAAACTCTCATAGGCAACCTCCTTTTTTATGAAAAAGAATACAGGCCGTTTTCAAATTTGTTTTTTTTTACTTTAATAATCTCACAAAATTATGTCCATACATAAGTATTTAAAAGTTAAATGTAGCTAATATTTTCAATAAATAGGTACAAAAGCTATTTTCTCTTAATTTATAAACATTAATATTAGGTAATTGAAATTATTAAAACAATTTTACCTTTAAGAAATAGTATGATAATTATTCTTAGTTTGATATTGAAATAAATAATTTCGTCTTTAAAACTACACCGTTTTCATATTTTGGAAGTAGTATTTTTAATAATTTATTTAAATAATATTATTTTCAACCGTAAATAAAAAGCACATATTTGCCTATTAATTAAATGCAAGATTACAAAATTTTCCATACATTCGTTTTAATTGAAAATGAATCCTAATAAATCGTGTCAATTTACTTAATCAATTACAATTTTAATTAATTTCCAACATTATACAATATTCAGAACAAATGTTATTCAGTCTTTTGTAATAAATTTTCTTTTAATTGATCGTTAATTTCAAATAGAATCTAAGGATGTTTGGGACAATCATTTTTAGTGCTTAAAATTCCTTTTTTGGGAGGAAGAGAAAGCATTAAAGGACTCGGAGGATGGGAGGGAGTGTCAGACCCTTACTGACTAAAAACCCCCCTGTTCCTTCTCCTGCTATGTGCCGAGGTCGCGGTGCCTCATTGTGCTTACCCCGCAATCCTGGCTGAACACCAGCCCTTTAGGGCCTCGTCTATGGTGACTCTGAGGCGCGTGCGGAACGTAATGCGCCCGTACCGACCCGCCGCCGCTCGACCAGAGCCAGACCCAGCTCTGGTCGGGCGGCGAGCTAGCCTTACTCGCCGTCCACAGACCCACGTTTCCGATGGCCGGAGAAATATACCCAATACATGATATTTAACTACTATTATGGTTAATGACAAAGAAAAAGTAGACTAATTGAAAATATTCATTTTTATTTTCTACCGGAACACAAAACTCGGATATTCTAAGTGGATTGGAATATAACGTGATGTCACGATTGAGTGCATTTTATACTTGTGGTGAGTGGCGACGTTGATTCCCCCGCTCCTAAACTTATATTCTTGTAATGGGTTTTATAATATCATTGTCTAAACAAAAAGTGGCTAAAGTAACTAAAAAAGTGTTTAATATATTTTTATTTAAAATACAATGTCATCATCCCATATTTTAATAAAAAAACGTAGCAAAGTTTGACCTAAATGAAATTGCACAGACATTTTTATTACTATCAACTATTAGCAGATTGCGAACACTTTTCCTGGAAATACGTTGACGTCATCCCGACCGCAACTCAAATGGCTTCAGTGTACATCCCGTCTCTTCGACCAATAAGGAATTAGCTAGAGTCACACTATTGGATGTTAAATATTTGATAGCTACATTGATTGGATAAACTGGCATCTTGCCAGATTAGTGCCATCTAGTGAGCAAAAACGGTAGCCCTTTTAAAGATTATTTGCAGGACACATTTTATATATAGTATAAAATGTGTCCTGCAAGGGTATGTAGGAAGGAACGGGGTTATTTTAGTCAGAGTCTGACACTTCGTCTCGCCCCACCTAGGGCTAGAGAAGTCATTTGATGTTATTATTTAATATAACAATAAGTTCATAAAGAATCTTGCTTTTTTTCTCCAATTTATATAGTTAAGTTCCTAAAAAACAAACTTTTATATTCACCTGCCTTTTTAAAGCGTTCTCTTCACAGAAAATATTCGCGGAATTCAAAAAAATTTTTCCTAGAAAGAGTTTAGTCGGGGATTTCACTCGGAATTATCCGCATAGCAACGGATTTTGCAATTCATTCCCGTGTATCAAATGACTATAGAGTTCCTCTGTATATCCAATCCAATTCTATTCTGCGAAAAATAATGAGAAAAAGCAGTCAAAACATCTCACCTATTCAGGCATATTGATAGGCCGTAATAATTTACTATTACTAAGCACATGATGTTAACACTATAAATTTCTCACTTCCTTTCTCTTTCTGGTCCAAAAAAGAATGAAAACTTAAAAGCAAAGCAGGAAGACGTCCACTGCTGAACAAAATCACCATTTTTATCCGCATCACTTTTCACAAAATTCTTCACACTCAAATCACTGTGTTTTTTACTCTATGACTTAGACGTTAGCTATCTTCTCGTTATAGTACTGGTGTAGCACCCGGCATCGCTCGTGTTCAGCGCAGCGGAGGCGTGGTGGTGGATGTCAGGCAGGCCCTCTCACCACTTTGGGCACTTCGAGGCGGGAGGGCACAGCGGTTAGAGAGGTCTCTGCGAAGCGCACGCCCAGACGAGTGCGGACTTTGTTGCCCTGTAAAAAATATATGGGTTACGACTGTTCTAGGAATACTAATAGGTTCTGATATACTATCATGATGTACAGATCATCCTTGTACATTTGGCAAATTCAGTTGAATATCTTTTATTTCTATGTCGTTAAGGGCGAAGTTATTAATTGTGAACCAATTATAAATTTGAATAATGCAGACGCCGAGAATACGTTGATCTATTTTCAAAATTAATAATGTATCATCTACAAACCACACCATTATTGTTCAGTTTTAAATAAAAATAGTAAATCATTGGTATTACTACTAACTAAAAAAAAGTGGACCCAATATTGAACCATGTGGAACGCCTATTCACAGAACCCTATTCGTTAAAATCGTTTATAAGAACACTTAACTGCCAATAAATAAGTATCTAAATAAAATTAATAGACGTAGTAATTAACAAACAGATCAAGGTATGTCTAATCCCCTAATAATCTCATTTCAGCAAAAGTCTGTCATGACCAACGCTAAGAAACGCTTTTGAGATGTCGCAGAAAACACCAACAGCACCCTATGATTCCTAGCAAAACCAAATATTTCCTTTGTCAAAGTGACACCGGCGTCCTGTACAACGATCTTTACTGAAACTGTATTACTTTTGTATGATGAAATGTTTATTAAAGTGATGAAGCATCCGAGATAGCATTGACTTTTCTAACACTGCTAGTATTATAGGTAATCGAATTGGAGCATGATGAAAAAAAAGATGTTTCAAAAAATATCAATAATACAAATGCTTTAAAATCAATGTATTTATATAATATTCGTTAAGTAAGATTTGTCTAAACAGCTTTTGATTTTCTTGATTGATTGAAAATATTGACATACCCCCTTGAATGAACTGAGAAAAGTTAAGTTAATTTACGTCAATTTAATTTAGTTTGTCGCAAGGTAATACAAACTGTGATTCTCTAGAGGTTAATAGCTTCACTATACTATAGAGGACAGACCGACAGACTGACACTTATTAACTTATATTTACCTATTTTGTTTGACGTTCAAAAGTGCCTTTAATGGTCTAATTGAAAATTTGACATTGACTATGTACAAAGTTGGTTTTTTTTGTAAAGTGAGGCATAATTTAATACAATTTCTGTAATAAATAAGTAACATTTTGTGATAAGTTTTATGATTGTTATTAAAATATGTAAGGACGCTTTCACAGAAGCAGTCAAGTCTGATACTTATACTAATCGGATTACAATGTAATCAAGTAACTCCATTATTGCTTGGGTTGACAAAATTGTTCGTATACTTGTTATTTACTTAGAAAATGTTTTGTTGAGTTTGTGTTAATATTAATTTTGGGTGAGCTAAAGCATTTTGAAGTCATTTTTATTACTTGATAGTAAGCCATCAGCGCATCCTATGATTACTCGTAATACAAGTGTGTTGTCGGCTTCATGTAGGTTATAAGGGATTTGAGGATTGACGATAGGAGGAGGGGGAAAAGATCCCCCGGTAACCTCACTTACACGACTGCTTCAAGCAGATTTTCTTTGAGGAAGCGGTATTACTCCGGCCGAGCCGGCTCATTCGTGCCAAAGCATGGCTCTCCTAAACTTATGTACGAGGGTTTGAAGTATCAATGTGAACTTAACCGAGTTATATGTACATTCTTAGATTATTTAGACACAATAAATATACGATGAACAATAACATCGTAAGGAAACCTAGACTAAGCCTTCATTGAGCAAGTCTTTCACCAGGCGTCTGTCTGAAAGAAGCTTAATTTGCTCAGCGTGAGCACTTATATATAGCTTTACTAGCAAAAAATATATATATTTTATATATGTTGTAAATACAGTAACATAACATTTGTTAGTTTTACTTGCAAATATTTCCAGTTAAAACAAAAAAGTTTTTTTTATATAAGTATATTTAATGTTTTTTTATGTAGTAGTAGTTATGTATCATATGTTTTAGTGCCGTCTTAGAATATCTATTCTGCTATCATGGATGTGACCGAATCGCCAATTTAGAAAAATGGCGTCTTATAACAGTTATTATTAATTAATTTATGCTATAACTGAATAAAATGTATTATAATCTGATCTTTAAGATAAAACTTTAATGCGACCTATGTGAATATCAACATAAATTATTTTCAGTGTAAAAACTTACAAGAGATCTTTTAAATGATAACTTTTTAGTAATGGGGAAAAGTTTCTTTCAAATTATTTCTTAATGGAAAGTTGGAGTAATTAAAAGTTTAATTTTATTACTTATAAAACTTTTGTTAAGAACTTGTTTTAATTCACTATGGCCACGTATATTTAAATAACATTATTTTTAACATTTATATGTTTATGTGGTAGCGGCGGCAAACAAAATGTATATGATATGGTGGTGTTAATGGCACTTAATGCCTCCCACAAAACCGCAACGTCATTGTTAAAACCATAAGAGTTTTGCAGGCATTATGAATATTTAATTGGGTTACTTACATGACGAAATATAACGCTATATAACTCAACTACTATAGGCTAAGAACTATTTTTGGGAGTTGAAAAAAAACTAATCAGTTGCCATTTAAAAACTTTCACAATCAATCTTACACAGGGCAAAACCATTGAAGTAAATATATATAGGTATACAGGTATACAGGTATATATGGAATACCTAGGTAACTAAAACTAAAACTACAAAAACCTATGTTGAGTTTATTACCAAAATTACTTATCACAAACAGAATATAATTTACGCTTTATCTCAAAAACCAGATACTCATTCATACAGTTCATGCATTATTTTCATCATCATCACAGCCCATAAGTGCCCACTGCTGAGCAAAGGCCTCTTCTCAAACGGAGAAGGCTTGAGCATTTATCACCAAGCTTTCTCAATGCGGGTTGGCGATTTCAAACTTACAATTAGAAATTATAAGTCCAGGTTTCCTCACGATGTTTACCTTCACCGTATGTCTGTGGTGTCGAAATAATCATAGAAAGTACATAACATAACTCGGAAAAAGTCACATTGGTACTTGCCAGGTTTCGATCCCACACCCTCATGCATGAGAAGCAAGCTCCTTAACCTATGGGCCACCACGATCACAGTTCCACCACGACTACAGTTCATACACTTCCTTTTATTTAATATCAGTGAAGGACGTAGGTACTCACAAATAATACATACTTACAAAATATTTGATATATCAAAGTAAATTACCGAAGTAATGTATGGATTGCGTTAGTTCGTTTCCCCTTCCGCATAGATGTCGGTGACACGCGTAGCTGAGTCGTGTGGATGTGACAGGCGAGAGGAAATAATGTACTTATCTAATGTGTATCTTTGTTAACTTAATACTCAAGTGACGTGACAAATAACTTACTAACTTATTTTTGTATAGTAACTATCGTAATAAGTTTAGCAAAACTAGCTTTCGCAGGCGGCTTCGATTGGTTTCGCCTGTTGTTGAAAATATGTTGATAAAAGCTGCCTATGTGTTAATCCAGGGTGTCAACTATTTACATACTACATTTCAACCAAATCGGATTTATTTATTTATTTATTTTATTTTAAGTGATAGGTCGGCAAACAAGCAGACGGATTACCTGATGGTAAGCAATCAGCGCCGCCCATGGACACCCGCAACGGAGGAGTTACGAATGCATTGCCCACCTTTTAGGGATAAGGGATTTGGAGATTTAGGGATTAAGGAGGGATAGGGGGAGGGGTAGGATTGGGCCTCCGGTAACCTCACTCACACGGCGAAACGCAACGCTGTGGTTACTTCACGCCGGTTTTCTGTGAGGCCGTGGTATCACTCCGGTCGAGTTTTTACACACTAAAACGTTTTTCGGACCAACCGTTTTTGCGTGAAAGAATAATTAACATACATAAAAATAATTAACATAGGTACATTAAAGTGTGGGAGAGCCATGCTTCGGCACGAATGGGTCGGCTCGACCAGAGTGATACCACGGACTCACAGAAAGCCAAAGAGTTGTGTTTCACCGTGTGAGTAAGGTTACCGGAGGCCCAATCTTTCCCCTACCCTAATTCGTTCCCTTTCCCTAAATCTTCAGATCCCTAATCCCCAAAAGGTCAGTAATGCACTCGTAACTCCTTTGTTGCGGGTGTCCATGGGCGGCGCTGATTGCTTACCATCAGGTAATCCGTCTGCTCGTTTGTCGAACTATTACATAAAAAAGTATTAATTCGTGAGCCATCCATCCATCCGTGAAGCTAAAAGCTACGAATAAAAATGTTACCTTTACCGATTTCATGAGCAGTGTTTCCAAATTGACATTCCTATTCTTAATTGAACTCGATCCTGATCCATCGATACCTGTGACAACAAAAAGAAAAAGTTAATAACTGTATTATTATACAAAAATTTTGATCAACATATCTACAAATAGAAAAAAGTATCTATACCGCTTTTGTTAACGAAGCTAATAATATCTATGAATTTTGAGGTTGGTATTTCCAGAATCAACCATGTTTTTTTTTGAGGTTGTAAAATTATTTTGTTTAATCAGTTCAATTTGAGAGAGTGTCATGCCCGGTTTCCGAAAGCCCGATCAATGTTAAAATCAACTAACTAGGTGTCAAATCTCTTGTCAAGTCATGTGATTGGTTGTTGATAATTCAGACAACCAATGACATACATACTGTCAGATGACTTGACAAGAGATTATTTATTTATTTATTTAAACTTCATGCACATTGGGTACATAGGTGGACTTAATGCCTTAGGAATTTTCTACCAGTCGGGCCTTTTAAATTGATCTTAACATTGATCGGCCTTTCGGAAACCGGGTGTTAGACTCTTATTGACAAAAAACTACCCCGTTTCTTCTCATGCTCCAGACCTGTGTAGCTGAATTAGAAAAATAAAAAAATCTTTATTTATTCGATGTGGAATTTATGCAAAAATCAACAGTTCAAAGTAAACAAGATTTCGAGATCGGCGGTCAAATTCGCTGCCATTTGATCAATATAACAATCAGTCGGAAATGGAATCCAGAAATTTACGCTCTGGTGGACTTAATTTGATAAAAACATAAAAGAAAATATAAAAAATGCGTCACAAAATATTAAATGGAGGAAATAATTTAATTTCCTTACATTAATTATGTACTTTCAGTATCTTAAGATGAACCTTTTTTTGAGCGAAGAAAATCGGTAAATGACTTCTTCTCGCTTTAATTGAGACGAGAGGGAGTGTCAGACTCTTAATGTCCAAAAACCACCCAGTTCCTTCTCCTGCTTCATCACCAGCCTATAAGTGCTCACTGCTGAGCAAAGGCCTCTTCTCAAACGGAGAAGGCTTGAGCATTAATCACCACGCTTGCTCAATGCGGGTTGGCGATTTCAAACTTATTAGAAATTATAAGTCCAGGTTTCCTCCCGATGTTTACCTTCACCGTATGTCAGTGGTGTCTAAATAATCATAGAAAGTACATATAACTCAGAAAAAGGCACATTGGTACTTGCTAGGTTTCCAACAAGACCCTCATGCATGAGAAGCGGGCTCCTTACCACACCACGACACGGACCGACACAGCCGTACTTTATTACGCTTGCCCCGCAACCATCGGCCCTGATAGGCCCTATGGTAGTTTTTTTTTGTGAGGGGAAAATCATCAAATGACTTCTCCCGCCCAGGGCCGGGTGGGAGGGAGTGTTAGACTCTTACCGAGTAAAACCCCCCCTGTTTCTTCTCCTGCTATGCTATGGTGCCCGCAACTCCGGCTGAACATCAGCCCTATAGGGCCCCGTCTGTTGTGGTCTATTGGCTCTTTGAGGCGCGCGCGGAACGCTACGCGCCGTACGCTCGGGTCTAGTTCTGGTCGGCTACCCTTACTTGCCGTCCGCAGACCCGCGCTTACGGTGGCCGGAAATCATCTCTCGATGGTAGTAATACCTGAGTTATGTAATTAATGGTGTTCTATAAATGGTAATTTAAGGCGAGCTCTGTACACTAGATATTAGCCTTTCGGGATCTAAAGATAAACCTGTATTTGCGTTTATATCAGTTCAAACTTGAGTTTGTTACTGAACTGTATGTTAGGATAACTAACTATTATTAGGATAACTAATTCCGAACTTATTCTAGCGATATTCTAATTTTCCTGCCTCGGCTTTGTAGCTTATAAATACAGTGATGGTAAGCAATCAGCGTCGCCCATGAACACCCGCAATAACAAAGGAGTAATTAGTGAGTTGCCGAACTTTTGGTGATTAAGGATTTGGAGATTTAGGGATTGGTTAAGGGGAAAGATTGGGCCTCCAGTAACCTCAATCACACGGCAAAACACAACACTGTGGTTTTTTCATGCCGGTTTCCTGTGAGGCCGTGGTATGACCGGTCGAGGCGACCTATTCGTGCCGAACCATAGAATGATCTTCTGAGAGGGAAAAAGGGAATTTATTAAGGTATAACTCTTTTTTGAAATGGGTAAATCAATGAAGGATCCCTCCCACCCATTCTCCCGGACAGGGTTGCGGTTGCATCGCAATTATCGCCTTGGAGCAGGAGAAGGAATGGGGTAGTTTTAATTCATTAAAAGTGTGACACTCCTCTCGCATCCCTTTGCTGAGGCGAAACAAGTCATTGTATAAATTTCCTTCTTTAAAAAAGTCTATGATATTTTCTACTTTAAACTTTGAAATCCAGCAACTTATAAGAATTTCTTTAGATTAATAATCAGCATAGAATATGTGCTGATGAGGGACAGTTCTCCGCTGAGACAGAAAACAATTGAGAATTTTGAAAAAAAGTCCTAATAAATCATGGAACGTCACTTTTGTTACTATCACCAACTGCCCCTCACGATGCGTTCACTAAACGGTTCATGAATGACAAATCGCACGCATTTGTTTCAAAATGAAAAAAGTCACTAGCATGTAGACTCCCATAGTACAGGTCGGCTGACAGTCGCGCATCAAATATTAGTCACTGCATTGTCACGTCTCAGCTGTGCTGCAGTAGTGAATGCACTCTTGTTTATTGCACTCAACTTAGTGCCAAAATTCGACGCGGCCTTAGTGTATAAATAAGCGGCCCTATCGTTTCGTTCAAATACTCCAGTAATTGACTGCACGGTTGGTGCGATGGCTGGGTTGCAACGTGTCGCGGGTTCGAATCCCGCACGGAACAACACTTTGTGTGATCCACAAATTGTTGTTTCGGGTCTGGGTGTCATGTGTAAGTCAAATTGAATGTTTTTAAATGCACCCAGGACACTGAAGAAAATCGTAGTGGGGTAACGTTTTTTTTTTTTTTTTAAAATCTTGTGGAGCATTTGATCCATGTTTTATTTGAATCTTTTTTGCAATTATTTTGATTCTCTTTTGTTCTCACCGGACAGAGTTTGGCAGCACAGGAATCTATACAGTATTGTAAAGCAATAAGAGATTCTAATTCTTTAAACGATAGGGCCACTGAACTGAAAATACCAGAGGATTCGGTCGAGAAAAGTCGGCTCAACAGCTAAACAATGGTTACTGTCTCTGAGCTGAATTCATTTTTATTTTTCGTACTTGCATAAACTGAACTAAATAACTGCAGACAATAAAAATCTTCATAAAAACTTCGCATTTGAAAATAAGAACAGTAATGTTATTCAGTGATACTATTTTTCTTCGTACAGGTGTAAAAACAACGGCAATTTTTTTATACAACCAGTCAAATAGAAAAAAAATGCATGAGACCAAAGTTGGTTTTTTAGAAAAAGCAATTGCTCACAGATGCTTTCTTACCTATCGTATCTGAGGCAGCTGAAGAGTGACAGCAAGTCTTCTTGATTAACCTCCTCAGAAGACCCTTGAGGTCCAAGGTATAGGAACCGTATACCAAAGGATTCATACAGGAGTTGGAGACAGCCATCACGAAGAGAAGGTCTTGGACCCTGGGCGACAGACGGGCTGCTGATTCTCTGTCCACCATGTACCTGGATAGATCATCATAAAAATTAGCTTGGCGAGAAAGGTTCTAACTCTTAAAATATTTCAAACAGGAGGCAATAAATGTTTTTTTTATTATTGTGCACTTTTTACAGTTTTGGACTTTTTGGAAATTCTCTTGCAGCACTTAAAATTTACATTTCTTTTGTCTTTTTTTTGTGTTTTGTGTGTGTGTGTGTGTAGAACATATCAAATGTAAAATTAATAAACTTTTATTTGTGTCACGGTGAGGTGAATGATCGCTATCAAAGAGAATACATTGGTGGTTATATCGTCATTGATCTCTATGAACGGCAACGCTTAATAACATGCTGCACTGCGTTATGTCGTACGAGTTTTCTTGATATTTTAATTTTCTTATTTATTTTGCATATTAATTATTTTTGGGACTGATAATTTTTACTTAAATAAAGATAACAACGTCAATAGGCCGCCATTTTAAAACGATAATCACGTCATTTTATTTATGGTCTTAGATTGTCGAAAAAACAGTTTACAATTACTATGTTACTGTAACTGAACCTCCCATTTTATTTTGTTGCATTTATTCGATTTCAGCCTGTATATTAGTTTTTTTTCTTATTTTGAATTGCTTATTATAATTAATCATGTGATTGGCTTTCAGACATTACCTATACTGTAATAAGAGTTGTTGTTGTTGCGTTTGTCCTATAAATAAATAAATTTTACAACTATTTTGCGTGTCACTTTGTAAGCGCGTAAACATTTATGGAATTCTTTGCATTCTGAAATTGGTAAACGCCTTTTGCAGCGCTTCCCTGTACTTTTTGCCACGTTAACCGTCACGTGCGTCACCGGTGACCAATGGTAGTCGGGGATTTGCCTTCAATGGTTTTCTGTTGGCAATCAAAGGCTTACGGAGATCTGTACGCTGAATTGAATTTAAAACTCCTATGAAGCACAATTGCAGCTTACCAGTTTACCTGTCAATTAATCATATCACTGCAGGAACATGCATTTGGAATAATGAGCTTTGCGCATAATATACATATGTGTACAATTTATGTACAAATTACCTTGAAGCCAAGAATTCTCGATTGGAACGACGTGCGTCAGAGCGAGACATTACTTATCATTCGCCGTGCAATGAAATCGTATTCATTCAAATTCAAACATTCTTTAGAAATATGTCTTTTTCAAGCATTGTAGAATATTAAAAACAGTCCTATCATTGCTCTATTTTAGCCTAAACTAAAGCATTAGTTACTTCAGAAAATTTCTTTATTAACGTTAAGAAAATACGTGACAGTACTACGTTTAATCTAAATACACATATAAAGAAGTTTACACACATTTACATACAAAGCGAGCTTTACAATTATTAGAACAAGAGGTTTATTTAGTATGTATGAGGTCTTTGAAAGTCTAGATATATAAATGACTTTGGATATTCATATTCAGTTCGCGTTGTTAATCTTAATACAGGGGATTTACATTTAGCTTTGAAAATAGAACAACAAGGAGACGGAATTTAAACATGAGCGTGATATTTTTAAAAATGGAAGAGTTCTAGTAGATATTATATTTATGTGTCACTGTTGAACTAGATTATAAACCGATTTAAGCTTGAATTATTATATTGATACAACTAAGTACTTTATTATTAGAATGATTACTTATAAGATGAGGACAATGCACGATGTTCCATTTAAAAGATGGTACAAAGTATAGATATTCGCTCATACTAGATGGCGTTAGTGTCGCATTACATCGCCATGGGTATTGCTACAAGTATTTTTAAGAAAACGTCATATTTAATAATTAATAATTGACTGGTAAGCGGTAAAGGTTTTTTTTTGTTTTTTTTTTATTTTGGTATAACACAAATGTATTACACATTACAGTATTGATAACATCCTACTCATGAATCTAAATGTGTAAATCTAAACTGATCGATAAGTATGGCTGACCTATGTATATGATAAACTAGCCATTTTCACGCGGATCCACCCGCTGCTCAGCTCCTATAGACCATAGCGTGATGTTTTATAGCCTATAGCCTTCCTCGATAAATGGACTAACAAACACAAAAAGAATTGTTCAATTCGAACCAGAAATTCCAGAGATTAATTAGCGCGTTCAAAAAAACTCAGCTTTATAATATTAGTATATAGATTACGAACATTTTGGTAAACCGAAATTTGTAAATAAAATATGTTACGTATATTCTATTCTATGCTATACAAATCTGCAATTAACTGTATTTTAAAACACAAAACATTATAATACGTACCACATAGTAATAGTAGCGTAGGGGAGCCAGCAGAGAGCGAACACGGCGACTATAGTTACTGTCATGCGTAGAGTGCGGCGCCTGGCTCGCTCCAACACGCGTCGATCGGATCTGCGCAGGCGCACGTGCCCGACGCTACTACGATGCATGCGTTTTTCTAGAAAATTGAGAATTGGGATGAACATTAAATAGAGAGATGGGAGAGATGAGTACTTTCAAGTTTTTTAATATTGTAGGATGGCAAACGAGCTAACGTATTGCCTGATGGTAAGCAATCATCGCCACCCATGGACACCTGCAACGGACAAGTTACAATTCCAAGTAACTGTACTTTAGCTTTAAGCTAATGACATCTTTAATACATATTATGGTGCGCAAATAAATAAATATGAATATGGATACGAGTGCGTTACTTACCTTTTGGGGACTAATCTCCAAATCCCTAAGGATTTGGAGATTTTAGGATTGAGGAAAGATTGGGCCTCCAGTAACCTCACTCACACGGCGAAACATTACGCTTTGGTTGTGTTTCGCCGTGTGAGTTTCTTGTAATGCTATCTCATATAATATTGTTAGATGTATAAAATTATTCATAGTCTACTTATATTTAATTATTATGTTTCTAGATTATTTATATTCTACGCCTGGAAAGGATGCATCAGACTCATTTAGGTGTGGGAGAGCCATGCTTTGGCACGGATGGGTCTGCTCGACCACAGTGATACCACGACCTCACAGTATTAACGTGAAGCAATCACAGCGTTGTGTTTTGCCGTATGAGTGAGGTTACCGAAGCTCTCTCCCATATCTCCCCAATCCACAAAATATCTCCGGAACCTTAATCTCCAAAAGGCCGGCAACGGACTAGTAACTCCTCTGGTGTTGCAGTTGTCCATGGGCGGCGCCGATTGCTTACCATCAGGGAATCCGTCACATAGTTTGCTGCCCTACAAAATGCTAGGTCGAACAGTTGCAAGTCTAGTCGCACGAATAGCATCTACAGTAAACCTATTTTGTTATTAATACAATTACCACTGAATCTGTATTTTATTTTTATTTTTATTTTATTATAGTAGGTTAACCAACAATTGTTTACACAATTTAAATTATAAAGTACATGCTTAACAATAATATTACAGTGTAACAATCACTTAAAGGTAAACACCACTTGCTTAAATTAATATCAAATTAAAAGTGAAAGAGAAGCTATCTTACTCAGTTATAAGCACATATAGGTTCAAACAAAATAAAATTACAATTATAATTAAAAATTAACAAAGTGGATTGAACTTAAATTTACTAGAAATTACACATGACAACGATAGAAAAATTAGCGGTCACCCGTTAAACGACCGAGAGTGGATTTCAGTTTAGCAAGACAGTCAAAGTTGACTGCACGGTTGGCGTGGTGGCTGGGCAACTGGCTGCCGTGCGACGTGTCGCGGGTTCGATTACCGCACGGAACAATGAACACTTTGTGTGATCCACAAATTGTAGTTCCGGGTCTGGATGCATTGTGTATGTCAAATTGTATGTTTGTAAACGCACCCACGACACAGGAGAAAATCCTAGTGTGGGGTAATAAAAAAAAGTGTCGATCAAAAACATCACTGTAGCCATTTACTGCCCTACACATTCTTGCTTAAGGTGAGCTGGATCCCAAAACAGTTCTTCTGAAAGGTCGACAAAGTGGCGCAATGGCACAACGATTTTTTCTAATATAGGTATACCTAACTGTAAAGATATGTAGTAAAAGGTCCACTTATCAAGCAGAATTACCCAAAAAACAACGATGACATTAAATTTCGCATACCCTTGTCATAATAATTAACAATAATCCAGCAATTTGCGTCTTCAGGAAACAAAAGAACTTTACACAATTATATTCTGGTAATTAATTTTTGAACATAACTGTCTTATACGCAATTTTATGCCTTCACAACTTTACTATAGAGTTGTAATTTCCATCTCTGGAACATGACACATTAGGGCTTTACTACCGTTTAACGTAGCAAGGAAGCATTTATTTAATTACAAAGTTTTCATACAAAACCGAAATTCCATGTGTCTCCAACCATAGCTGTTTAATTTACCACTGTTGTTGTCTCTTTCTTACACGTTATTATTTAAACATTGTATTGCTATCCTTTTTCTGAATTACAATTGAAACGATGACACAGCTAAAATAAATTATTTCCATATTTGTATAACTTCCACACGCGGCTTTTTCCGAGTTGTATGTTGATACAACATATAACGATGTCACTCACTGGACACCAGAAGGAGGTCGACGCCGTCGAGGTCGACCACGGCGAAGGTGGTGTGACGATCTGATCATGTACGCGGGGCAAACTTGGCCGGAGATCGCACTAGACAGAGAAATTTGGAAGGAAAAAGGGGAGGCCTTTGCCCAGCAGTGGGACACACGATAGGCTATAAAAAAATAATAATAATAATAAAAAAAAAAATGTTGATACAAAGTAGCCTATGTCCTATTCCCGAGTGCGCCTGTGCCATATTTCATCCAGATCCGTCCAGCCGTTTTGGCGTGATTGAGTAACAAACATCCAAACATCGTAACTCTCGCATTTACATAAAGCATTAGTAAGACATTAAATGAAAAAAAATGCTGTCATTACAATTAAGCGATGTTATAAACACGCATAGAATTATATAATTATTGATACCTACTTATAATAGTCGTCGCTCGATGCCCATGAATAAGAGTCCCTGGTTGTAACTTGATACTAGTAGAGATTTTCTCAATTTATTCGCGTTACTTTCACTTTATTTTTAATTAATCTTAATAAAAGTGTCGAATTTGACAGTTGCATACTTTTTAAAAGTGGAATAAATACTTGTGTTACATTATCTTTAACCGAGTTTAATTTAATAATATGAATAATGCCTTGGTCGCATAGTTGTGAGATTGATTGTTGAGCAAAACCCAACCAAATAGGGTTTATCACGGAGATATTGAAATTATCAAAAAAAAAAAAATGTAAAAGAATCGAGTTTCCAAATATCGCTTGTCTCTTTCATTTCTCAATGTATGCGAAAAACTATTAATGTAGATTAAAAGTTCTCAAAACTACTATCCAGATTAACTTTGTCTCTCCAAACTATTTTTTTTCTAAGAATAAAATTGCAGTGAATACCAAATTTCATTGAATTCCATGGTTATTAAACTGAAAGTTTGCGTGCAAACTCGCACCACTCAAAACTCGCAATAAGCATTCTAGTTCAATTAAATTAAGTAAATTAACACCATTCTACATAATAAAAAAGAGATCTAAAAATATAATTAAGTATTAAGTATACTTTTTCTACTCATTCTTTCTGATTGTGACAGCATTAATAATACAAGGAAAAACCACTTTATTTTTTATCGAACATAAGTTAACCCGGCATTACCACGATATCTAGGTCAGACTAGACCAGGGTTGGCGGACCACGGGCACGCGTGCCATTAACGAAGTACATAGAAAAAAAAACATGTACAAAAAATACAGTGTTGGGGACATTTCAATATAACAATCCAAACTAATATTATGTGTCTGTTTGTCTGTCTGTCTTTTCTTTACGCCCAAACTACTGAACTTATTTGTGTGAAATTTGGTTTAGACATAGTTTGGAACTCGAGGAAGGACATAGGACAGTTTTTAAACCCAAAATCTGCAGGAAGTCACTATTCCACGCGAACAAAATCACAGGCAAAAGGTTGGCAACGCTCTCGTAACTCCCGTGTTGTTGCGGGTGTCCATGGGCGACGCTGATTGCTTACCATCAGATAATCGGTCTGTTCGTTTGCCGACATATCACATAAGAAAAATGTTTACCTAAAAAAATGTCATGCACACACGTAAAAGTTGGCCATCTCTGATGTAAGAACAAAACAAGTTGTTTCACTTAGCCCACCACTTTACTTAGCAAGTTACGCGTTTGATTAAGCCATTAACTGCTATTAATCAACATTTAGATGCTATCAACAAGAAGGTTGATCCAAAAACTCACGTTACATAATATTTTTATAACAAAAATGATGGTACTAAATTGGATAGCGTTTATTTACCGTCGCACTCAGAGTTATTAAATAGTCTCTTTACCCACTACCCAGTTCTTGGAAATTGTTTTGACAACATAATTGATACTAAGGAATAGTTTAAGTAATCGTTAAATGTCTGTGATTATGGCAGGTAGGTAAGACTTTTTTTTATATAAGATCACTATAGGTCGATAAATGAGCAGGGAATCGTTAAATGTCTGTGATTATGGCAGGTAGGTACGACTTTCTATATATCATAGGTCTACAAATGAGCAGACAGATTACCTGATGGTCAGCAATCGTCACCGCCCATAGACACTCGTAATACCAAAGGAGTTCATCCAAGTGCGCAAGTGCATTGCCGGCCTGTTGTGGGATTTAAGGATAGGGGATTTGAGGATCCAGGAATGGAGGGGGGAAAGGATTGAGCCTCCGATAACCTTACTCAGACGACTTTTAAGATTCATATGTAAGATATAGGAGTTCTACGACATAGAAAAATTTGCTTACTCTATAATTGGGAGAGCTTCGACACAAATGGGTCGGCTCGACCGGAGTGATACCACGGCCTCACAGAAAACCAGCGTAAAACAACCACAGCGCTGTGTTTCGGCGTGTGAGTGAGGTTACCGGAGACCCAATCCTCCCCCTCCCTAAATCCCTCCCCAATTCCTAAATCTCCCAAAGCCGTAACTCCCAAAACGGTCGGCAACGCACTCGTAACTCCTCCGTTGCCGGTGTCCATGGGCGGCGCTGATTACTTACCATCAGGTAATCCGTATGCTTGTTTGCCGACCTATTCCATAAAAAAAAAAGATTGCTTGACATCAGGTGATCAGTCTTCTCGTTTACCATCGTATCCCATAAAAAAAACTCTTACCATCTAACTCCTTACTGCTCCGATGTATCTCGCAGAAGATGCACACGTAGCAGACGGTGATGATGATCAGCGGCAAGAAGTACATGGCACAGAGACAGAAGACGTTATAAACAACCTCTTGCTGCTCCGAGCTGAAGGCGCCGAAGGAGACACATTGCTCAAACCCCGCCACTTGTGGATGCCGCTTCACACGGAACACTACGCTCTGTGGACAAAACGATAAGGTATAGATTTCTTCGAATATTTGATTCACTTATGATGATACTAACATAGATTATACTAGATGAACTAACACTAAAATAGATTGTTTGAATATAAACTTAATATTATTATTATACATTATTATATAAACTTAAGTACTGGCTTATTATTTAACATTGCTCCACATTAGGATTTTCTCCAGTGTCGTGGGTGCAAACAAACATACAATTTCACATGCACATTGCACCCAGACCCGGAACAGCAATATGTGGATCACACAAAGAGTTGTTCCGTGCGGGAATCGAACCCGCGACACGTTGCGCGTCAGCCAGTTGCCCAGCCACCGCGCCGACTGTGCAGTCAAGTAAAGGCTTTTTATTTTATTTCATTTTTATTATGTACTAACTTCCGCCCGCGGCTTCGCCCGCACTAGAGTTCGGTTATATCACATTTCCAAGAGAATTCTTCAAAAGTCCGAGATAAAAACTATCCTATGTTCTTTTTCAAGGTCAACCCTATCTCTGTACCAAATTTTATTAAAATCAGTTCAGTGGTTTAGACACGAAAGCGTAACAGATAGAAAGACAGACAGACAGACATACTGAGTTACTTTCACATTTATAATATTAGTTGGGATAAACACAAACACACACAGAAGTGGAATTATAATCTGAAGCCGATATTTTCAATCGATTGTGATGAAATTTTGTACACACGTTTAGTTTGCATAACTGTAAATGCTAAGTTGTATAGCTTTACATTAATTAAAATGTAATAAAATAAGTCACACTTATATCGGTAGTTATAATTAAAGGAGATACAAATAATTAATAATTCTATGAAGATCGATTTTCTGATCTGTAACTTTCATAGCTTCTAGTCATTTTTTTTTGTTATCTCCATAGTGTTTAGTCCCAGAACTTATTGCATCACTTGGTAAAAGCTAATTATTGCAAAGTTTTCTTTTTAATTTGAAACAGTTTTCAACCTATATTTTTATTAGCGTGCCAACAGAGTCGCGCGCGCCGTCGCTGCCGAAACCACGGCTAGAAGAAAGTGCGCGTGAATCACGGCAGAGGGCGCGTTGGGCGCGCAGACTCGAGTAGCCAGTAGCAGCGCGACAGTCGCCGAGTCGCGTGTCGCGGAATGCTGCTCATGAATATGGGCCTCTAGCATGGCTTGAAACTAGTCGAGTATCTCGTCAAATTATTACGTGAGTAAGCCGAAAACACAATAAATAAAGTTTTCAACCTACTTACAAAATATTTTATGTTCACTTTACTTTTCCCGCATATGTTTAAAAGCAGGGACCGAAAATTTTACAGAGATCAGATCTTGACCTTTTCAACTGTGAATTTTATCCCGCCAGCCAAGCGTAGCTATTGTAGCCTACAATCCTAAATATGTTGGTCCGTTGTTAAGTAATGGACTGTCACGAGCAGAAAGATAACTTTAATGTATACTTATGTTCCACCATATCATAAGAAAACGGGGTAAAGGTGTGGAGGAATTACCTGATGGTAAGTAATCGGTGAAAACCAGAGGAATAATGACAAAACGTGTGTTACTGGCCTTTTGGGGATTTTGAAGTTTTAGGGATTCTGAAGAGATGGGGGAGGTGATCAATTGGGCTTCCACGCGAAACATCACAACGAGGTTTTCTCCGAGGCCGTCTATGTGAGCCAGCCTAATTTCTTCAAAGCATGCTCTTTCACATATAAAAACTTATAATCTTCTAGCTTTTGCCCGCGACCCGTGCGCGTGGAATAGTAACTTACTGCAGATTTTTGGTATAAAAACTATTCTATGTTCTTTCTCGAGTCCCAAACTATGTCTGTACTGTACCAAATTTCACAGGAGTCGGTTCAGTAGTTGAGGCGTGAAAAAAACAGACAGACAGAGTTTAGATTGATAAAATGACGTGTTATGATGTGGCGTGTGGTCGACTGAAAGACTAAGTTTAATTCCAATTTTAAATAACTTTTATTTTCATAATAATTAAATACTTAGTCGGGTCATAAGTTCTGTCACAAACTTTTGATGTAATAACTTATACGCCTTTTGACAATTATTTAAAAATTATATATGAAATGAAAGGTCATTAAATGTACAATATAATTTTATTTACATTATTCGAAATGCCCTCCCCCATTTTGAACACATGCCCTTAATCTACGCGGCCAGTCATCGATCGCTGCACGCACCACATTCATATCTATGTCTGCCGCTGCTTTAACCAGAGATGCTCGGAGAGACTCCAAATTCGGGTGAGGTTTAGCACAGACTTTTTCCTCCAAATATTGCCATATCTTGTAGTCCAGTGGGTTTAAATCTGGACTAGAAGAGGGCCAGTCTTCATGCCGGATGAAGTCAATTCCACGAGCGATCAACCAGTCTTGCGTACTTCGTGCCTTATGAGCCGGTGCAGAGTCCTGTTGGAATATCCAATGCCTGTTCCTGAACATTGTCTGAGAAAGAGGTTCCACTATGTTTGTTAGGACAGTATTTTGATAAACTTCGGCACTAGTTCTCACACCTTTTTCACAGAAAAACACCTCAGTTACGCCTGAATATGAGACTCCAAGCCAAACCATGAATGAGGAAGGGTAATGCCCACGCTGGACCCTCGCAATACGCGCGCTTGCTTCTTCACTGCTGTGGGCATACACCTTATCATTTTGTTTGTTAAAACTTTCTTCAATAGTAAAAATTTTTTCATCCGAAAAAAGAATTTCACGGTATTTTTTTCCCGCGTACCGTCGTAGCAAAGCGCGGGATCTGTCTAGCCTAATTTTTTTTAAACGCTCGTTCAAAAAATGTCCTGTCTTTTTACGATAAGCTCGTAGTCCCAGGTCTTCATTTAGTACTCTTTTAACAGTGGTTCTGCTTAGCCCCATCTGCAGAGCTAGGATTTTTTGTTTACGTACGGGATTTCGTTCGATTCGCGCCTTCACTGCTTTGATGACCTTATGTGTCCGAACTGTGCGAGGTCGGCCGCTTCTCTTACGATCTTCGAAGCTTGACTCTTCGGTGTATCGTTTGATAGTACGATAAACAAACCGTAACGTTATTTTCAAATTTTGAAGAATATTGAAAATGTCTTTTGGCGCGTAACCACAGCGGTGCAACGCGATAACCGCGATTCTGTCTTCTTTATTCGACCACTCCATATTTAAAAATGAATAAAAAATAATTTCTTTTTTATTTTCTACAAGCGCGAAAGTTCTATTTTTAAAATAAGTCGAAGAATTTCTGGCCAGTAATCGAAAATTAAAAATATAAGGTTTTGACAGAACTTATGACCCGACTAAGTATTATTTAGCTAATTTTAATTCCAATTTTAAATAAACTAGGAGTTAAGTATTATTGTATAAAGTATTATAATAAATAAACAGTGTTTTTTACGTATAGTCGACCGCTTAGACAACTGTTTAATTTCTGGCAGCGCGTAAACGTAATAAGCTTTGAATGTGCTACCAATAATTAAGGAGGCTAGTCTTGTATTTCCTTGGGGACGTGATCTGGATACCGAAGCCACTTTATAAATATTGAAAAGAATATAAATTTAAGACGAAAATTATGAAAGATAAACTTAACATTATTATAGGAAAAAAAGACATTATTTTTTTTCTCGACGATCGTGAGTAACTTTCTAAAATTTCAAAATATTACGTAATCCAATGAAACCACTAAATATCTCTCCTAGAACAGCCCTGTCCAGCTGTCTAAACTTCAAGCCATTTCATTAATCTCTAAGGATATTCAACTGCCATAGATATCAAAGCAATGTTACAATCATTCACGTCTGTGGTTATCAAGGAATGAACGGCTTTGCAAAGTCAAATTCATAACCAGATCTGTGTATTATCCGTCTCCATAGCAACGTTGAACAAACCATTCGATGATATAAACATTATTTATTTATTTGAGGCTTCATGCACAAAACACTGTACATAGGCGGACTTAATACAATAAGCATTCTCTACCTTTAGGTGATACAGAGATAATCTAGTGGCAGGTGGCAGGTATAGTTCTAAACATATATTTATTTTGTTATAAACACACATGCATAATATTACAGTACAAGCCAAAATATTGTACATTTAGAAAATTTACTTATTTACTACTTTAAAAAGTAACGATAATTATAATTACTTAAAACTAATTTATCAGCTATCCATCTTCTCAAAAAATCTTACATATTCACGACATACATCCTTTCATCTCGCTGCAAACAAATCACACTCTGGTGCCGATGCCAAGAGGGTATTGATCATTGTTAATGCTCGAACATGCGGAGAATTTGCATGCGCGACGGTCCGCGTTACCGGGATAGCCAGTAAGGGGTGCCTGCGTGGCCTAAGGTGTAAGGATGCTTCAGTACTGTGGGCACAAACAACCGTACCACCTGCGCCACCAGCTCCGGACAGTCAGATTGTCCTCGCAATGTACTACAAGTTAAAATAATAAGAGAGTAATTTTGTCTCACTGCCAAAGAATTAAAATTAAAACTTATAACATCACTGCTGAGTAAAAGCTTCTTCTAACACAGGTTTGAGCATTATAACCACCACGCTTGTTCAAGGCGGATTGGCGAGTTCAAACTAATAATTGGGAATTATAAGTCCAGGTTTCCTCACGATGTTTTCCTTCACCGTAGGTCAGTGGTATCTTAATAAACATACGAATTGGAAAATATCACTTTAATACTAGTCAGGTTTAGAATTGGTGGAAGTGGGCGTCTTAACTTAACTTTCGAGCCACCACAACATCCGATAGTACTTGTCCTGACCAGGAGATCGACCTGAAAACTCATTCTTGACTAACTACCAATAAATAGGCAGTGATTACATAAATAATTGTTGAACTGAACAACGAAGCGAGCGAAGCGTAGAGCTAAACATTTTCATGAGCACTCTAGTGAAAACGCTAACCGATGCATTTTCTTCTCAAAGACGACAGATTACTCTCGTTATTTTTCTGTTATGTAGGTAAATTTGAACCTGGAAAATATTTGTTTTTTTTATGTAATAGATTAGCAAACGAGTAGACGGATTACCTGATGGTAAGCAATCAGCGCCGCCCATGGACACTCGCAACGGAGGAGTTACGAGTGCGTTGCCGACCTCTTAGGGATTAGGGTTTTGGAGATTAAGGGATTGGGGAGGGATCGGGGGAGGGGAAGGATTGGGCCTCCGGTAACCTACCTCACACGGCGAAACACAAGGCTGTGGTTGTTTCACGCCGGTTTTCTGTGAGGCTGTGGTATCACTCCGGTCGAGCCGACCCATTCGTGCCGAAGCATGGCTCAAGTGGGGGACCACTTCTTGCATCTTACTTCTTACTAATATTATAAATGCGAAAGTTACGACGTTTGGATGTTTGTTACTCAATCACGCTAAAACCGCTAGACGGATCTGGATGAAATTTGGCATAAGCATAGGATACACTTCGGAATAGGACGTAGGCTACTTTTTATCGACATAGTACTCGGGCGAAGCCGCAGGCAGAAGCTACTTTGTTATAAAATGGTTGTCTAAAAATAATTATGCTCAAGATGTTCTACTTTAGTATTTACAAGTCTTTACTTATCTCGCTATTTTATTTCGGTAGGTACTCGGTAAGCGTGTGACATTCCTTTTCGCCTTACCCTGGGTGAATGAAGTGATTTGACGATTTTCTCCAAGCCGTATTCCGGCTAAAAAATCGAAATACGACTACTATTAAACAAAATTTAAAAAAAAGAACGTTGTCCGTGCCTCACAGTGTAATACGTTAGGTACCAAGGACCTACTGCGATCCCAAACCGCCTGCGGACATTAACAAAATTACAAAAATATTCAAATGTTACCTAAGTTTTCGTCAGTTAAAAGTAGGTAGTTGAAGTGTTTGAAGCGCCCTCTTACACAATTAAGTGTAACTGCCAAAAACCGAGCACTTCACAAAATGCTGTGTTTCATAAAACCCTTAATAAAATGCAAATTTTATGAAATAAATTATACGCCGCACAAGTATTCTGATTGTAGCAATTACGTGCTTGATTTAAACAAAAATATTTAACAGCACAGACCTACAAATTATATCGTATTTGCATGTTTGCGTTTTGTGAATAAATATACATTTTAATTCGTAATTTTTCAGTCGCTTCACTTCAGTTCAACATGGCGCATAATGTCTGTCACTTTATAGTAATTGAGATTACAAGTTGTAAAACAAAATATATGTTTTTTTATTACCCAAGCACGGCAAAGCAAAAGGAGGGTTATAATTTTGACAGGCTATGTATGTATCTATGTTTGTTCATCTGTTCCCTCCTTACTTCTAAACTACTTATCAGAATTCGACATATGACATATCATTAGAAACGTCTTAATTGTCCGCTGGTTATAGGCTATATGATGTATCACAAAATCTAATGTGGCGTCCTTTAGCGGACAAAACAACCAGAGTGTTGACGTTCAAAAGTGCCTGTATGGGTCTAATTGAAATAAATAATTTTGACTTTTGACTTTGACTTTGACTTTGACTTTGACTTTGAGTAAAAAAATAAAGTTAAGATAATTATATCGTGTTTGGTATCATTTTAAAGAGCTTTACTTGTACATTTTGAATACATATATATTACCTACTAGCATTTGCTTGTGACTTTGCTTATATTCATGGGCTGATTGCATATAATTCACATGTTTTCGTTCATACCTTTTACTACATTTACTTACCATACCTGCACTTTGATAATGTGTGACTATGCCTTTCAGTATTCTGAAAATTTTGTTTTATACTTTTTCAGCGTCGGTTTTTGTCGTAGTTGGGTTTTAGTTTTTAAACTTTAATGTAGGCCGCAGGATAAAGCATGAGTATTACCTGATGGTAAGCAATCGGCGCTGCCCATGGACACTCGCAATAACAAAGGAGTTACTACGAGTGCCCTGCCGGCCTCTTGTGTGTTATTAGGTTTAATGGAGACGATGGGTTGGGAGGTTTGGGCCTCCGGTAACCTTAATCAAACGCCAAACACAACGTAATTATTAAGGTTAGGTAAGGGAACCCGAGCGTACGGCGCGTAGCGTTCCGCGCGCGCCTCAAAGAGCCAATAGACCACCACAGACGGGGCCCTATAGGGCTGATGTTCAGCCGGGGTTGCGGGGTAAGCGCAATGAGGCACCGCGACCTCGGCACAGAGCAGGAGAAGGAACGGGGGAGTTTTTAGTCAGTAAGAGTCTGACACTCTCTCTCTTGCCTTACCCTGGGCGGGAGTAGTCATTGGATGATTTTCCCCTGACAAAAGAAAAGGTTAGGTAAGGGAGGGGAATGGTTTTTGTACTTTAAGTTTTCAATTAATGCGAATAATTTGCCACAAAATGAGACAATATTAACAAAGTAATATTGTATTCATTCGATATTTAAATAATGAAAGACACGTATTTCCAATCCAATACATTATTTAGTACCTTAGTACTTAATAAAATTATAATAACTTTATCATAATATTACCATTATTTGCTCTGTATTATTAATTTGCTTTGTATTGATTTTTCCTCTCTTCGGCTGTTCATCGAAAATCAGTGTTGGAATTTTGATTAAACATTTCATAGAAAACCAGTATGATATAATAACAAATTCATAGAAAATACGTTTATTTATTTATTTAAATTAACCACTTTTTTATGTAATAGATCGGCAAACGCAGATTACCTGATGGTAAGCAATCAGCGCCGCCCGGACACCCGCAACAGAGGAGTTACGAGTGCATTGCCGACCTTTTAGGGATTTGAAAATTTAGGGATCGGGGAGGGGGGATTGGGCCTCCGATAACCTCACTCACACGGCGAAACACAACACTGTGGTTGTTTCACGCCAGTCTTCTGTGAGGATGTGGTATCACCCCGGTCGAGCTGACCCATTCGTGCTGAGTCATGACTCTCCCACACTAGCTTACTCACGTATAGAAAGGATAGAACTTTCTCTTTACTTTAAGTACTTTCAACTCACAGTAGGGCCTATTGTCTTGTCTTTAAATTTAGTATGATGATAGTTATTATTAAACAACAAAATAATGGCTTCATTAGGTACATACTTTGAAATAATATTAGTAGATGATTCAATTTCTTTAAGCTTTTATTTAAAAAAAACTGTTCTGTTGTTTATTAATTTATTCTATTTTAAAAACTTTTTGTTGTTTAAAATTCGAATTGTATAAAAGCCAGCTTAAGCCACAAGAATTCTCACAATTCAACCTTTTTTTCTTATTAAATTATAAAAAAGGTTATTAAAAATAGTTTAAAGTGAAAACTCAATGTTATCATATGGTCAACTCATGAATGGGCCGTCCTCGAGAATAGTTAGTTAGTCAAAAAAAAAAAATTAAAAAGATTAAGCACTCATTTTTCTACTTTAAATAATACAAATGGCGAATGTTCATTTAATATAGCTACTATATTTATCTATATACTAGCGGCCCGCCCCCGCTTCGCACGGGGTCCAACTATCTCGCTATCAAAGGGTCACTTTTTCCTAACCTTCCCCTCTACTTTTCTAATATTTTCTTTGATAAGAACCTTTTCCTGACAATAACAAATACAACAAAAAAAGAATTAGCAAAATTGGTCTAGGCGTTGTTGTGTTATGCGCTTACCAACACATTTTGCGATCCATTTTTATATACTCGTATAAGATAACACTGTGAAGATAATTTTATATTCAGAATTGCGGGTTAGGTTCCCTGGAAGACAGGAAAAAATGCCATAAGGCATCAAGTCCATCTTTCGTTTCTTGATTTATCATGTGTGCATTAAAGTTTAAAATCGTAGTAATATGCCATGGCCGGGCTTGGAACGGGAAAAGAAAGCAACTAGCTGCTTTTAGTCCAGTATAAGTCTGACCCTCCTTCGTACAGGACGGGAGAAGTATTAGAAGACTCCTCTACAGCTCCCTCAAAAAGAAAGTACGTTCCATTTCCGAACAAACGACGGTTGACGTTCAAATTTTGAAATTCGAATGAGAAATTCTTACTTCTTAATTTTAATTTATTTTAAGACCCGGTAAAATAAATATGGTGGCCCCATTGTGTTTAAATCCGGTCTGAGTCATAAGTATTTATACTCTAGAGGAGTCTTGAATGTTTGTTTGTTTGTTTGTTTTTCAGTACAAAAGAAACGAAGCTCTGAAGCTGTGTGTCAATACGGTGAAGATCGTGTGAAAACAGTAGGTAGGGCTAGAAGCAGTTCAAATGTTGCCAAATATAATTTAATCAATTTTCAACCTAATTGCGATCTGATGAAGTTGAAAATAAATTTGATAAATACGTTAATAGTATATTAATAGTTCCAGTGTTGTCAGAACTTTTTTGATGGTACAGGTACAATAGATTTATTGGTCTACAGCAGCAGCAGTGTGTGTGTTACAATCATCATCTACCTGCCCTTGTCTCGTTTTATTTGGGGTCGGCGCAATATTTTTTTTTCTTCCATTCTGTCCTGTCACCCGTCACGCTATCACTAACTCCTCTGTCGGTGTGTGTGTTACAATATTGTCAAAAAAAACTTGGGCATTTTTTTTATTCCAATGAAATATAATACCACAAAATCTGCCAAAAATGTAATCTCAACCACAACATCGTGTTTCACCGTGTAAGCGAGGTTACCGGAGTCTGAATGGTTTCGCTGCCTCCATGCTTATTCCTTCCTCAATCTCAAAAACTTCGAAACCCTTATCTCGAAAAGGCAGGCAGGGCACTTGTGACTCCTTTAGTATTACGGCTATTCATGGGCACCGATCACATATCATCAGGAAATCCGTCTGCTCGTAAAAACCCTGCTCCTTCACGGAATTAACAGCACTTACAGAAAACCGGCGTGAAACAACCACAGCGTTGTGTTTCGTCGTGTGAGTGAGGTTACCGGAGGCCCAATCCTTCCCCTCCCCCAATCCCTCTTTAATCCCTAAATCTCCAAATTCCTAATCCCGAAACGGTTGCCAACGCACTCGTAACTCCTCCGTTGCGGGTGTCCTTGGGCGGCGCTGATTGCTTACCATCAGGTAATCCGTCTGCACATTTGTCGAACTATTACATATTAAAAACAGAAAAAAACTTTACTATACATTCTTCTCACATGGAATTTTCAGCCATATTTACATGACTATAAGGTTTTCAAATAAATACATCACGTCTGTACTACTGAGTAATAGTTTCAAAGGCTTTGTCTACGTCACGATCAGGTAGCACGTTTCATTTGTCTTAGCTAGCAAATTAATAGTGTTTGCAAGTCACCATGTTGTGTAGCCAGTTTAGTCAGACACGCGTGGGTGCCGGCCAATCAGTCTGGTCGTTTGTTTACGTTTCTAGGTGGCCTAGGCTTAATATTAGATCTGAATTTGTATGTAGGTTGTCCTTTTTAACCGACCTTTTACTAATTTTCTTATGTTGTATTTAAATTGAGCAAAATGTTTTTAAAATTAATTAATTATTTTTACCGTACCTTACTCACTCAAGCTATTTTAAGGACTTTTATTATGTATAATTGTGAGCATTTCGCGATACATGACGCGGTGAACGTTGTACAGCTGACTTCATGTGAGGTTCCAGCATGGCTTGAAACTAGTAAAGTTGTTCAGCCAAACCGTAGGTCCAAGCTACCGGTGGTTAGGGCTCCAGAGACAGAAATCTCACAATACGTGCCGTTTCAAGGAGGACTGCCTTCTTTATGAGGCCCTTGATCTATCCGCCTTACGTCAGCCTCTTAACGTGGTTGTCGAGGCTTTTGGGGACTAACCCATTTGTGGACACAACTATCGGCAGAATGATAACCGAGTCCACACTCCACATGTCAACAACCTCGTAAGCCAAGTCAAGATATTTCAATTGTTTATCTTTCTTGAACTTATATAATTATCATTAGTCACTCCCGCGCAATTTCACTTGTAGCTTTCGTTTAGTAGCGTTATGTTTTGTAGCTTAAAGGTCTCCTCAAATAAATGTTCTATCCAATACAAAAATAATAATTAAATTGGAAACAGTAGTTTCGGACATTAGGGAGTTCAAATTAAAAACAACGGTTTTTTCCGTTTCTCGGCTCGTTTTGATACAAACGTGATGTTTTATATACTATTCTATTGTATCTCAATAAATGAACTAAGGAACTCAAAAATAATTGTTCAATTCGAACCAGTATTTCCGGAGATAAGCTCGTTCAAACAAACAAACAAACTCAAGAACTTTATAAGCAAATGTAGTGTAGATATAAAGATATAATTATGTTTATATTATGATAAAAAAGGTGATCGAAATAGTTATATTTTTATGAGCAGTAGTAATTATACTTAAGCCAAGGTCAGCATGAAACGATTGTGAATATAAAACACAATTTTTCCCATCCCAATCCTCAAGTCACAAAAGGCTAACAAATCATTTTTGGATGGATTTTTTATTCCTAAGCTTGAGGATGACTTGTCATTTTCTTATGTATTATACATACACACATATTATGCACGTGAAGAAAATTTATTTGAAAAAAGAAGCGTATAAAATAATGTAACTTTAAATAAAAAAAATAATATGACTATTCAACTATTCCGACAGTCTAAAGAACAAATATCCTTTATGCAGTTATAAATAAAATGATGCAATAAAATTCTCAGTAACATATCAAACTTTAATGAAAGGATTTTTAAAACTTGTATTTAGCGGGAATTATGTAAAGAAGTATATTAGTTATATATTACA